GAGGAAGAGGGGGAGAGAAGGAGGAGGAGGAGGAGGAGGAGGAGGAGGAGGAGGAGGAGGAGGAGGAGGAGAGAGGAGGAGGAGAGCAGGAGGAGGAGGAGGAGGAGGAGGAGGAGGAGGAGGAGGAGGAGGAGGACGAGGCCTGGTCCTCGCTGCCGTCGCTGCCCCTGGCTCCCTCGCCGCCGCTGCCGCGACAGGCGAGTCGCCCGAGAGGCGCGGCGCACCCCGCGCCCTTCGAGAGGCGATGGCCCTGCTCGCCCCCCTGCGCCGGGCACCGCGGCTCGCTGGGCGCTGCGCGGCCGCGGCCGCGCCGCTGGGCGCTGGCGCCCCGCTGCAGCGGCCGCTGCAGCGGCCGCTGCAGCGTGGAGGGGCGACGGGTCGGCGAGCGAGGGGAGGAGCTGAAGGTTCCGAGCTTCGAGGTTCGATGTTCGAGGTTCAAGGCGGTTTTGCATCGTTCTCGGTCTCTGAGGGCCATTTTCGGGCCCCGAGCTCCCCGAAGCTCGACCTGGGGTGAGGAACCGCGTCGGATGGACCCCTGGCCTGGTCCGAGGACCGAATTTGACCGACATTCGGCGGCGCGCCCAGGGGGGGAACGTGAGAAGGAGAAGGCCTTCTCGGAGGGCGGCGGGGCTTCTCAGAAGCCCTCGCGCCTTCTGAGAGGCTTTCCGTGTCTTCAGGGAAGGCTCAGGGAGCTTCTCAGAAGACCGGGGGACGTCCGAGCCTTCTGAAAAGGCCTCTACAACCATGTTAGCCAGCGTGGACCCTGATCAGTGCGCTATTACACTGGAAGTGAAAATTCATTGGATTAAGCTATGCGGTGATAGCTCTATGTTCTGACTTGACGAGGTGAAAGCTATGCGGTATACAGTGGGGGCGCGCATCAAGAAACCATATGCTTTTCGTCAGGGTATCCTGGTTTCTTCGCTCCTCGCGCTGCGTGGTGACTTCAGCAGGAACCATGAGTGTCCTTGCCAGCCCACGCGTCCTTCAGGATGCATGGCCTTCTTGCTTGCTCGCTTGCTTGCGCGCTGCGCGGTGACTTCCCGCAACCGTTGCAGGAGCTGCTGCGTTAAGGGTGCTCCAGGTTTCCCCTAAGGTGCACGTCGCGCACGGGTTCTCAGGGTTGGGTTCCTTGCGAGGGTTTCTGGCGGCCGCGCCCGCACTGTAGGCTAAGTGGAGTAAGCTGTGCCGAGTAAGCTAGGTGGTCTGCTCTCGAGGTGTACGCTAGAGGCGGCAACGACGCGGCAAGGAGGCAGCGACGGGCGACAATGGGCGGCAACGTGGCGAATCTTCGGCATACCCACACAGCGCACGAGGCGGCAACGACGCGGGAACGAGGCGGCAACGAGCGGCAATGGGCGGCAACGTAGCTGACAACGGCACTGGAACCAGTGCAGCGTGACTGCTCGTACCCTGGGGAGGCCCCAAGGGGGGCTGGCAGATACCCGCCTGGCCTCGACCAGGAGGTGTCGTACACCATCCTGCAGACCAGGATGGCCCCAGCCAGGAGGCACCTGCACACCATCACTATGCCTGGCCCTGGGCAGGCTTGGCGTTGGAGTGTGGTGTTTGGATGCTTTCTGTGCAGTGTCGCATGACACGGATAGCACTTCGTTTTTTTCCGCCATCGTGGGTGCGTGCCCAAGGGCGGCCAGAAGCTCATACCCTTGCGGCAGCACGTGGGAGATCAGACCTTCCAGCCTTCCTTGGGTTTCCACTGGCGGAAGTAAAGATCTGACAGCTCCTCGTCCGCCATTGGGTAAAGATCCGAGAGCCTCGAACCCCCCCCTTCCTCCTGGGAGGGAGGGGGGATCGAACGGCAAAACAGGACAACATACCAAAGAGACACCTTCCCTTCCTCCCTCCCTCCCTCCCTCCCTGGGATGAATAGGGGATCGACCTCGACGGCGAGCGGGGGGGGGAAGTGAGAGGGGGCGGGCCTTCTCAGAAGGCTCGGAAGTCCCCTGGCCTTCTGAGAAGTTTCCTAAGAACACCTTTCACAAGGCGCAAGGGCCTCTGCGAAGTCCCGCCGCCTTCTGAGAAAGCCCTCTCCTCCTCGCTTCTCCCCCCCCTCGCTCGCCACTGACGAACAGCATAACGGGAGAACACACTTTTTTTTGGTCTGTGGGTCGAGAGCGGGCCTCTTCCGGCTAAGAGCTAGGCGGGGCGCGCAAAGCACTAATTGGGGAGACAGGGCGCTGGCGGGCGGGGCCTCAGGCGGCCGGAGGGCGGGCCGGGGTGCAGGCGGTGCCGAGGAGCTTGCACAGGAAAAGGAACGCCTTGGACAGGAGCCGGAGGCGAAGATCCGGAGGGTGAGCGGTGTGGTGTTGCCGTCAACGGCGCTCCGTAAACACCATCCTCCAAAACGGGAGAACGCACGCAAGCAGAAAACGCCGCCCCCCCCCCCCCGGGGAGGCAGGGGCCATGGTCCGTTGGGCAAGGGAGGCCAACGCTGGCCGCTCGTGGCGGCCGCGCGCTCCTTCTCGGACAAGGCCGCGTCCTTCGACGTCTTCCAGAAGATGAAGGACCCGCCCGACGAGGGCTCCGAGCCGAGCGGCGGCCGAGGGCGAGCGGAGGGACTGCCGTCTCGGCCTGGCTGCTTTTTTCCCTTGCCTGATACTCGCTCTCGGGGCTCTTCCGGCCTCGGGGGGGGGGCGGGTTCCTCGGTGCCGCGGCCGGAGAGCCGCCTCGAAGAGTTCCTTGGCCCAGGCCGCACCCCTGGAGAGGGGGAGGGGAGAGAGGGGAGGGGGAGGGGGAGGGGGAGGAGGAGGAGGAGGAGGAGGAGGAGGAGGAGGAGGAGGAGGAGGAGGAGGAGGAGGAGGAGGAGGAGGAGGAGGAGGAGGAGGAGGAGGAGCGGAGGAGGAGGAGGCGGAGGAGGAGGAGGAGGAGGGAAGAGAGGGCGGAGGAGGAGAGGAGGAGGAGGAGGAGGAGGGAAGGAGGAGGAGGAGGAGGAGGAGAGGAGGAGGAGGAGGAGGAGGAGGAGGAGGAGGAGGAGGAGGCGGCGGAGGAGGGTGGGTCGACCTCTGAGGCGAGGAGGCGGATCGCCAAGGCGGGGCCGGGTCCCGAGGGAGCGGGGCCCCGGGAGTCGTGCGTCGCCCTCCGGGCTCCCGAGGCCCTCGCGGGCCCCATGGCCGTCGAAGCACGCTGCATGGTGAGAAGCCGGGCCCAGGAGAGGGGTCCAGAGCTCCGGGGTCCACGTTGCGAGGAAGATGTGGGCATCGGAGGTTGGGTCGGAGGAGGAGGAGGAGGAGAGGGAGGAGGAGGAGGAGGAGAGGAGGAGGGCGAGGAGGAGGAGGAGGGCGATGATGATGATGATGATGATGATGATGGTGGTGGTGGTGGTGGTGGTGGTGGTGATGATGATGATGAGGAGGAGTATGAGGAGGAGGAGGAGGAGGAGGAGGAGGAGGCGGCGGAGGCACAGGCGGAGGCGGAGGCGGAGGCGGAGGAGGATGAGGAGGAGGAGGAGGAGGAGGACCAGTGTAAGCCCAAGAGGCATCATCGATGTTGAAATACACCCTTCTTCCAAGCTTCCCCTCCGTAGGCCCCTACAGCGGTTTATTTTGACTGAGGGAACTGCTTCGTTGGAAGACAACTGTTTGAAGACCCTGAAGCATGCCAAACCATTGTTCACGGGATTCCAGCGCCACGGATCAACCTGACTGCTGCATCTTGACGATCCTGAATCGTGCCAGAACGCCATTCGTGGGTTTTGGGCACCGCGAATCAACATACCTTGTGCACCCTCAGGAGCCAGATTCCTTCCAAAACACCAATTCTGGCACGTTGATCATGGGAATCCGCGAAACCCTTGCAATTTTGTAACACGAATGTGCGCGGCGCTAGGGCGAGAGCCACATGTTGAAGAAAAGGAACTGCCTCAATTCGCGAAACGAATGCGCGCGGCGCTAATGCGAGAGCCACGTTTTGAAAGCGACTCGCCCTCAATCCGTGAAACTCTTGCACAGTTTTAGAACAATTGTGCGCGGCGCCAAGGCGAGAGCCACATTTTGAAAACCACTCGCGCTCAGTCCGTGAAACTCAGGCAACCCTCAATCCGTGAAACTCTTGCGTTTTTGCAAGAAATGTGCGCGGCGCTAGGGCGAGAGCCACATGTTGAAGACGACTCGCCCTCAATCTGTGAAGCTCTCGCAATGTTTTAAGACGATTGTGCGCGGCGCCAAGGCGAGAGCCAAATTTTGAAAACGACCCGCCCTCCATGTGTGAAACTGTTGTCATTGCTTCAGTATCATAAATGGTGAGGAAGTCTCAGGCGAAACGCCCGGCCCGCCCTCACAACTGGCCTCGGGGTGCGACATGGCGAAGTTATTGATAAGGAGAAGGAATGGAGGAGGAGGAGGAGGAGGAGGAGGAGGAGGAGGAGGAGGAGGAGGAGGAGGAGGAGGAGCATGCGTTACTGCCTTTTTTGAGCTGGATTCACTGTCGGCCCCGCCGCGGTCGCTAGTCCATCTGAGAGAGAAGGTCACCCGCCCGACAGCAGCCGCTTCCGTTTTGGGCAACCTGTGCTGTTGGGCACAGTGCCATTTTTCGGTACATGCCCATTTCGGGCGTACCAGTAATAAACGTTTCCTCGGGGTCTGCTCCCTTCAGGCCAGGAGTGGCGGCGCGCACGAGAGCTCGGGGCGAGAGGGGTGGGCCTCTCGTGAGTCCCGGGGGGCTTCTTGGAAGGGATCGTGGCGATTTAATGTCAGAGGCCAATCGTATGCTGCTTTCACAGAGGGCGCGGAGGAGGAGGAGGAGGAGGAGGAGGAGGAGGAGGAGGAGGAGGAGGAGGAGGCGGAGGCGGAGGAGTTGGATGAGGAGGAGGAGGAGGAGGAGGAGGAGGAGGAGGAGAAGGAGAAGGAGGAGGAGGAGGGAGGGAGGGAGGAGGAGGCGGAGGTGGACAAAAAACAAGCTGCATTCACATACGCTTCCGGAGGTCTGCGTGGATCTCTTGGATCGGCGCTGGACCCGCTTGGCGGGCCTCTGGCGCGGCCCCATGGCGCGCTCCGCGCGCCAGAGAGAAGGGTCCAGTGCCGATGCAAGACATCCGCGCGGACCTCCGAAAGTTTATGACTATGCTGTTTTTACCTCACCCTGCTGTGTTGGGCTTTCGTCTTGAATAGAGCACTGCTCGCGCATCTCCTCCCTCCTCCCTCCTCCTCCTTCCTTCTCCTCCTCCTCATCTCTCCTCCTCCTCCTCCTCCTCCTCCTCCTCCTCCTCCTCCTCCTCCTCCTCCTCCTCCTCCTCCTCCTCCTCCTCCCCCTCCTGCATCCTGTGCGCTCCCTCGGGGGCTGCGAACTGCACAGCTGTCGCCACTGTCGTGGGCTCCTGGGAGGTACGGCGGGGTGGAGGGCAGCGCGGATGCAGGCGAGCCCTCGCGCCTTCCTCGGGGGCTGCGTGCGGCTCGGAAACAGCAGTTCTGGCTTGTCGGTTGCCTGCGATGCACGCTGCGCGGCCCGGGCAAGATGTGGGCGACGTCTTCGGTTCGTGCCCTGCCCAATCCTAGGGCCGCTCAGCGCGTGTCGCCCTTGAGTCCCTCGTACTTTCACGCATCTAGACGAAGGCTAGGCTCACCACTCAGCCTGGTGAAGCGTAAGGTGTTCTGCTCCTGCAGGCTTTGTGGAGCCCGCCCACACACACACACTTCATTCCTCGATGTCATGGTCTTATGCAGTTACCTTTTTCGAGAAGGCTTTTCGCGACAAGCGCGACGTCGTCTCTGGTGGCTGGTCGTGTCGAAGCACGCTGTCAGCATGGGGCTGATCGTGCCGATGCATCGTGACGCCCATCACGGCTCTGAAGCTTTCGGGCCCTCTGGAGGGCCTCCAGGGGCCTTCCTGGGGAATGTCGCCCCCTAGCGCGTTGTAAGCTGCAGTGAAGGCTCCGTGCATAAATTTCGCTCCAAGGTTCCTCTGCAGGGAAGAGAAAGCCTTCCGACAGAGTGGTCCGCCTGGTCGATGAGATCATGTCGCTGACCCTCATCGAGGCGGCCGACCTGTGCGACCTCTGCCAGGACAGCAGGGTTGCCATGCTTTGAGGAGGAGGAGGAGGAGGAGGAGGAGGAGGAGGAGGAGGAGCAGGAGGAGGAGGTGGAGCAGCAGGTGCAGGAGGGGGAGGAGGAGGAGGAGGGAGGAGGAGGGAGGAGGAGGAGGAGGAGGAGGAGGAGGAGGAGGAGGAGGAGGAGGAATAGGAGTAGTAGGAGGAGGAGGAGGAGGAGGAGGAGGAGGAGGAGGAGGAGGAGGAAAAGGAGGGGGGGGTACATGCGAGGGTGTACGACAGAAGCCCTGCCGTGCATCATCTTGCTTCCTCTTTACCTCAGTGTGCCACGGGGGCACGGGAAAAACAGCTGGGCATCGAGGGGTGTACGATATTCGTCCAGTGTCTTTCGGATAATCTCGCCACAGCGAGCGGGCCGTGAACCGAGACCCCTTGGACTCTTGGATGCCTCTTGAGATCTCCTGGGGGGGGTCATCTTGAGAGCCTCTTGGGACCTCCTGGGGCCTCGTGAGGCTTCTCGGGGACCTTGGGTCTGTCTTGAAGAGGGTGCTTCCAAAGGTCTGGCGGTGGCGCTCTTTTTGTGCCCCCCTTCGGGCTGTCTTGGAGGTCTCGGTCTTATCTTGGGAGCCACGATGGCTGGGGGCGATCTTCGGGCCTCATGGGCCGCCTTCGACGCTCAACCGAGGTCCTTCAGAGTTGCGGCCACTCAATTGGGGGTCTGAGGTCCTTTGAGCATTTGCAGCTCTAAATATTAAGAATCATGCAGCTGCCTCTGGTAATTTCACCACGGTGTCTGCGCAGCATTCTGGGTGGAGACTTTGAGGTGGCACCGGAGGCCGTCATTTGTGACACCTCGGGCCTCCCGAAGGCCCTGGGGGCTTGTTGGGTGCCTCTTGGGGGCCTCTTCGGGGCAAGATGGCCCCGTGCAGAGTCTTGGGGTCGCCTGGGAGACCCGTGCATGCTCCTTGGGTGCGGCGCGCTCTTGGGCCGCCCGGGGCGCTTTCGGGGTCCGCCCTGGGTGGCTGTTGGGGCCCCCTTGGGGGCCTGGAGGGCCGTCCGAGGGCCCCCTTGGGCCGACTTGAGGATAATTCGGGCACTTGTCAGAAAACGCGTTCTTCAATGCACTGAGGGTACTGCCGGATTTCGGACACCCCTGCTTCTGGGCAGAATACCTCATGCCAGCATTGAAGTAGCGCCGACCATGCAAGCACCGAAAACAATTTCTTGGTCGGCGGGGCGAGAGCGAACCTCTTCCGCTAAAAGCTAGGCGGGCTACGCACAGCTTCAATTAGGGAATCAAGCACCGACAACAAAAACCGTCAATTGATTCTTGACGAGTCTTGTAGAGACCTCTTGGGACATCTTGCCCAAGAGATCCTGGCAGCCCCCTTTCGGAGCATCCTGGACTCCCTGGAGAGCCCCAGGGACGCGCAGGGCCGCCAAGGGAGCCTCGGGAAGGGGAGGAGGAGGAGGAGGAGGAGGAGGAGGAGGAGGAGGAGGAGGAGGAGGAGGAGGAGGAGGAGGAGGAGGAGCAGGAGCAGGAGGAGGAGAGGAGGAGGGAGGAGGAAGGAGAGAGGAGGAGGAGGAGGAGGAGGAGGAGGAGGAGGAGGAGGAGGAGGGAGGAGGAGGAGGAAGAGGAGGAGGCGGGAGGAGGAGGAGGCGGAGGAGGAGGAGGAGGGAAGAGGCGGGAGGAGGAGGAGGAGGAGGGACGAGGGGGAAGAGGAGTAGTAGTAGTAGTAGTAGTAGAGTAGTAGTAGTAGTAGTAGTAGTAGTAGTAGTAGTATCGTAGTAGTAGTAGTAGTTAGTAGTAGTAGTAGTAGTAGTATGTAGTAGTAGTAGTAGTAGTAGTTAGTAGTAGTAGTAGTAGTAGTAGTAGTAGTAGTAGTAGTAGGAGTAGTAGTAGTAGTAGTAGTAGGAGGAGGAGGAGGAGGGGAGGAGGAGGAGGAGGAGGAGAGAGAAGAGGAGGAGGAGGAGGAGGAGGAGGAGGAGGAGGAGGAGGAGGAGGAGGAGGCGGATGAGGAGGAGGAGGAGGAGGAGGAGGAGGAGGAGGGAGGCGGAGGCGGAGGAGGCGGAGGAGGCGGAGGAGGAGGAGAGGAGGAGGGGAGGAGGAGGAGGAGGAAAAGGAGGGGGGGTACATGCGAGGGTGTACTACAGAAGCCCTGCCGTGCAGCATTCTGCATCCCACCACGCCCCGGCGTGCCACGGGGGCGCGGTGGCAGAGTTGGGGACCCGCGGACACTCGGCACGGTGCCTGCGGCCCCGTGGCGCACGAGGCGCCCTCTCGGCCTTCGAGGCGCGATCGTAATGGACAAGAGGAGTGATGGGAGCAGCATCTTTTGTCGGGCAGGCAGGCGATGCCCCACCAAAGAGTTGGGCGGTCTGAGCCCGAGGGGGCGGGCGCTGCGGCCGGGGCCCCCATGCGAGACACTGGCCTGCAAGCGTGGCGCACAGTGCCGTTTTTAAATGCATGCTCCGCGTGCGGATCATGTATCAAAAATGCAGGGATTCGGTATTAAAAGCAACGATGAGTTCGCGCATGAATTTATTCACACATTAGTCATGTGTTGAAAATCCTATATTATTGAAAATCCTATGTACTGAACACTGCCCTGTATGAGCATGTCGTGGGAGAGGAGGAAGGGGAGGGGTGGTGGTGGCCACTCGAAGAAGACATAACGCCATGAGCAGATACTTTTGGCGCTCCGCGCGGAGCGCCGAAAGCTCATGTTCATGCTGTTTTCTCTTTTTCTAGAGGGGTGGTGGTGGTCACTGCGTAGGGGAAACTAGTCCCGGAAAGCGCAGCACACATCACGACGACGACGCCGACGGCGACGGAGCCGAGGCGCGCAGACGATCCGCACCGAAGAACCGGATGCAGGAGGTGGTTAAACAGCACATCGTTGAGCGGTGCTGCAACCTCCCCTGGGCGCAGCCCCCCACCAGAGCATCAGTCAGACAAGTCGGGTTCGCACCCTCATGCCTTGCTGGACCTTGGGGGCGTTTAATGCGATTGCCGCCGCCGTCCCCTCGTCAGGGTCACGGGCCCGGGTGACGGCGACCTCGACAATGGCGGTGGCCGACGCGTCCCAAGGCTAAGAGCAGCCAGGCGCCGCGCCTCAGAGAGCCTTGAAAAGAGACAGGCGGACATGCCTCTTGCAGGCCAAGTCGGTGGTCACTGGATAACTTTAATTGGGGGCGGCAAAGAGGGGGGTGATGACTAGGGGGGGGGGTGGATGTCATGACGTGGGCCACGATATTTCCCTAGATCTCGTGGCGCCTCCTTCTTATTTCGTTACGTCCCTGGCCCCCCCCCCTTGGGCCGCCCACACTCCGCCGGCCATGATTTGCACCCCCCCCTCTTGGACGCCCCCCTCTTGGCCGCCCCCGACTTGACAAGGCCCGAGCAGAGCAACACGCACCACGCACGACGCCGCAGGTTCGGTCGAGCAGCACAGATGTGGAGCGGTGCAGCAGGTCCCCCCGAGCACGGCCCCCTCCCCCAGAGCATCGGCCCGACGGTTCTGGCTTGCACCCCCAAGCGTTGCCGGATTGTTTTTTTGGGGGGCCCGTTTCGGTACCACTGTCTGGCGAGTTGTCACGATCACGGAGGATTCCTTCGCCACGCTAACCACTAGGAACCATGCGGACACAGTAGGAAACAGTGTGAATCAGTAGGAACCAATCGGATTCGATAGGAATCACTAGTAAGCAATCGGAACTACAGGCATCGGGCATAGTAAGCGGATGCACATTCGTGTAGGCACACGGTGGCGTTTTTTTTTTTTTTTTTTTTTTTGTTGTTGTTGTTGTTGTTGTTGTTGTTGTTGTTGTTGTTGTTGTTGTTGTTGTTGTTGTTGTTGTTGTTGAACATTATTACTTCTAAAGAATAATTATTGTTGAGACCCCTGGTGCACGCCCCCCCCGCCGCGCCTAGGCCGCAGCCACGTTTTCATCGTTTTCGAGCGAAAGCCCTTGACAAAACGATGTGATCCAGATCGGGTTGTTTTGTTCCCCCCCGCTTTCCCTTGCAAAAAACAATATAGAATGACATTTCTTGTTCTAACATAACCAAACTTCAATAATCCCTTGCAGCAAATAAGGTAAAGTGGACATTCGCGCGCGCAAGACGAAATCCTTCCAAAACCTTAGTGTTCGAGCGATTTTAACATAAAAACATAAAAAAACCAATGGTTTTTCAACAAAAAATGTCAAAATCTCATCCCGCGCGCTCTTGCGGATTCGTAGGAAACCCAACACTTTTTAAACATTTCTGTCAAACGGGCTTTTGCGAGCAACTTTTTCGAACTTCTGCGACAACGGTTGCGCACCTGCCAGGGCCATCATCCCTGTCAAATAATACCATGCGGGACACATTCGTTTTTTCTTCGCGCGCGCACGCCGTCGTCGTCGGCCGCGGGGCCCTGAATAGTAGCCACGGTCGTCCGCATGCCACGAAGTGAAGTGTCCGAACGTCATAGGGCGGGAAGCTGGGTGTGGGTGGTGGCGAAGAGTCGTTTGGAAATTTGGTAGAGCTTGAACCGGCCCCCCCACAAAGTGGGGGTATTGCCCGCCTCCTATGAAAACCCTGGCACTGGTGAGAATGGTGTGTCCCCACGTGCTAGTAATTGTTGTTGTTGTTGTTGTTGTTGTTGTTGTTGTTGTTGTTGTTGTTGTTGTTGTTGTTGTTGTTGTTGTTGTTCGTTTTTTTGTGTGTTTTTACGTGTATGGCGCTCTTCTTTTCATCTACTGAATGGTTTTCTAAGGGAAGTATCTTTAATTACCGTTCTATGGGTAACTTTTTGTTCTTAACGGTGTGGCTTCCTCACTAGTGCTTTGCAGTGTAATTATTGTTGACGCCTCGCGCATCCCCACCAACCAATCCAGAAGCGATACCCAGGGGAGTTGAGGCGAGCAGGGAAGTGGGGGAGCATGCAGAAGACCTCTCGGAGACTCTTCGGATGTCTCTTGGAAGCTTTTTGGAGGCCTCTTGGGGCGTGTAGGGGGCCTCTTGGCGGG